TTCATGTGTGTTTGAGGATAAAGTTTTTGTTTTTAATCTTTTGCTTATCATAGTTAATCTAAGAAAGGCAATACTAAAGGTATATTTTTTTCCAAAAATGATATTTTTTACTGCACTGATAAATATTGTGACATCTCTGTTCTTAACTCTTTCGCTGTGAGGGGAACCGTGTGCAGACTCACACAAACCTTGTAAATACTTGCGTGTACTTCTGACAGCCAGGGATTTTTTTTTCTTTTTTTTTTTTTTCTTTAAAACAAGGTTTCCTCTTTGAAACAGAAAGCAATGGGGCAACAATGCTCAGAGCAAAAGCAAAGCTTATCCCATTTTCAGAACATAGCCAAGGAGTTTTTGCAGTGCTGGCATAGAGTTAATATTTAATGCCGATGTGTTTTGATATTTTATTTTTTTTTTCTCCAGCAAATTGTTTGGAAAGGAATAAGACAGAAAAGCTTTGGTCTGGAATTCTGATCAGAAATGTTATTCGTCTCTTTTATGGCACCTCTGATTTTTGTTTTTCCTTTCTTTTCCAAAACTGGCTTGCTGCAGGCTCGCTGGCCTGGGCTCTAGGTCAGTTGGCGGCTGCGCCGGGCGCCTGGTGCTCAGGGACCGCCGACTCCTTTGGAAGCAAACCCGCCGCCGGTCAGGATTCGGGATCCTGACGGCGACAGAGGGTATGCCAGCAGACCGTGGGGTACCCTCGGGTTTTTTACAGAAGGATTTAGATACACTTATATTACGCAAACTGTGACCTAATGGCAATAATTACCTCAAATGTGGGCATTCATCCTGGTTTTAGCCTTTCTGAAAACATGTAGCCAGCTTGAACTTTGATTCAAAGACTCTAAACTCTGTATGGGCGGAATAATGATAAATGCCCACCCTGGTCATTGTTGCTTGAGTGAATTCTGAAGACAGTGAATCTTTAAAGAGAAAAAGTTAAACCAAGGAATAGATTACTCTTTTATGTATTTTAATCAATTGTGATGTTAAATGCACATGTAAGTATATATGTTTATAGCTACTGTAAAATGCTTTGGCCTTCTAGAAGATATTTAATGAGTCACATTTTAAACCAATATGAACTGAATAATAGACTGTGGCTACTTAAACAGTTTTCTGGCTACATTTTATAGTTATTACAGTGTTTTATAGTTTACATTTAAACTGGTACTTTTTAAGGGAAATCTTGTGTTTGTAAGTGACACCTTCAAAAACTCAATACAGCTGCCTCTTTTTAATTTTGCCCTTTACAAATGGAAAAGTACAAGTGTGTCTTTAATATGTATATTCTGTTCTGAGGTATAACATAGTGTTGGAAAGTCAGTCCAGAGATCAAGTAATCCACTGTATTCCAAAGTCTGGTTGAAAAACACTCCACCCACGTTGCAGATTTAGCACCTCTAGTCCAACAGATAAGCTATTTGTTTGTGTGCTCGTTTAATACCATACTTTATCCAACTCCTTGGGTTGAAGCAGGGAGCGCAGTACTTCCAAATTCACTGTTCTGTGTAGGATCCTCATCTGGATGAAGATACCCATGTAAGAGAATGAAGGATATTCAAAGGAAGGATTGTATTGTACTGTTGATAAATCTTTAGCCAAATGATTAATTCCTGAGTTTAGTGATTGCCTGTTTTATTTTGGTTTTGTGTGTGTGTGTGTGTGTGTGTATGTGCATGGTGTATGACAGCCACTCAGAGGCAATGCTGTAATTTGGCTTTCGTCTGTTCACCCCGTTACTACAAACGGTGCTTACCACCGCAGAAACTTTTTGAACCAGTAAACTAAATACAAAGTTCATTGACCATCTCCTTGTCAACTTTGTTTTCTTAGCCAGCGTCAGTTCCCATCAGTGCTGTCTCCCTGCTGCTGTTACGGTGTACTTTGCATCTGGGTATGTCACACTACCCCCTCCCCAGTCTCGCCTAGCTGTCTAGCTTGCTCTTTTGTGTTCTGTCACTCGAGTAACCAATGAACATGGTATAAATGTCTGCTGGGCGAAATGGTACTGCTAGGTCATGAAAGCACGGGAATTGGCATTTAAAAACATAAATCTGTGTCTGTGTGAAGAACCGAGCTTCTGTGGTGGAGCCTGGGCACCCCAGGGGGGGGCCCTTACATTTCTGCCCCATGCCCGAGGCACTGGTCCCAGCGAGCCCGGGGTCAGTGGTGTTGCAGAGGAGCGATGGGGATGCTCGTGGTGCCGCTGGCTGCTGATACAATCCCCCAGTGCAGCTCAGGGCTGCCGTGCCCACCCCGTAACCCACGGAACCAAAGCGACGACGCATCGCATGGCAGCCCACGAGCAGCGCTGGGGCTGGCGGGGATCATCCCCCCCCCTTCTCAATCATTGCCTTTTGCTGCCCTCGGCACTTGCACGACCTTTTGTTCTTAAGGGGGGGGTCAGACCCGCAAACACCAGCACACTCAAGCGAAGGAGACAGTCCTTTTGAATACTTTGGCTTGCAGATTGTCAGGCAAGAAGGGGTTTTGGCCACTGGCAACGCACATCCCCTAGAACCCGAATGGTTACGTATAGCACCGCTGCCCTCGGAAAGGAAAGAACAGGCTTCTGCCATGCTCCCATGTCACATGGTTACATACAACACTTCTGGCTCCCCTTCTCCCCCACCTTTATTCCTTCTGTGTTCGATTTTGTGTTTTATTTAATTTTATTTTTTGCTCTGTATTCTTTTCAAAATGAAACTTCCATGGATATCCCAGGGCACAACCATTTCAGGTGTAAAAAGGATCTCCTCATCCCCTGTTTCACCAACCAAGAAACCAAGGCTTTTTGGGTACCGACTCTACTTGGGCAGAATCAGAATGTAGCCTGTATCTTTCATACCAAACCAAATTTCTGAAAGGAGCGGAAGTGTAATTAATAGCTTTATTAAAGGAGTGAGAGAGAGAGAGAGAGTAAGAGAGGGAGCGAGATGGAGAGAAGAAAGAGGGGCATCTAGGAAGTTGACGAGGCTAGACTTCGGGTAGTTAAAAACGAACCAAGAGGTGAAACATTATTTACGAACAGTAAAATCCTTTTAAAATCAGGAAGGGGGAAGTGGAGGGAGCATTTTATACCTTTCGACTGCCCACAAGCCCAGCGCACCCTGGATGGAAAGTGGAAGTTAACGTACACTGAACCAAAATTCTTGAGGGGGAGAGAGGGGAGGAAAAGCTGTGAAATACTATCACCACTGCAAGGGAAAAGATGCCCCTGCCCCAGCTCTGGATCTCGAATGGTTCTTTCTCTACAGCATCATCTCAGCCCAGATACCCCATGAAAGCCCTGAGCCGTTGTGTTCCTTCACTGTACGGTTTCTGTAATAAGAGTGTTAATCCATGTTAATCTTTGTGAAAATTATTGTGTGCAACAGTATTTTCTTGTGTACTGCTTTTTTTTTTTTTTTTTTCCTATGTGAATTGTCCCTTTTTTTCTTCTTTTCTTTTCTTTTTCCTTTTTTTTTTTTTTTTTGGCTTTTGGAAAGTATGTCTTTCTTCTTTTAAAAAAACAAACAAAAAAAAACCACAAAAAAACAAACTGATGTGTTGTAGACCTCTATGTAACCTATTCCTTAGTCTCATATTATAGGTATGTTATAAGAATGGATATTTTACTTGGCTTTAGAATGTTTTACAAGAAAATTAATTCTTAACCAATCAAGTTCTTGCTACTAAAAAAAAAATGCTTGTGTTTTTCATCATGACGTTGTGTGCTTCTAATTAATAATCATTTTCGTTGTAGAAAAATGGAGTGAATTTATATTAGTCTTGGAAACTAATAATAGCATTGTAAATTTATGAGATGATTTTAACAGAAAATACATTATAGAAGAATATAGTTATTTTAATTGTAATATTACTAACTGTAGGGTGAGAAAGGAGGTCCCGTTGTGGTGAACTATGTTATAGCTTGTTATTCACGGTTTCTTTTTGATCATTTTTTCGGTCTCTGAGGTGAAACGAGTTATTAATCAGAATTTGTAAACTCACATATGCATATTGTATATGTGTAGAAATGTAATCACACTTTGTCTTGGAATTACATTAAACTGTTTTAAGTCACTGCAAAGTTTGTGTGTCTGTGTGTCTTATCGCTAGTTAAAGTTTGGTCTGAATGTTTGGTTAGTTTTCAGTTACTTTTATTTAATCTCCCAAGTCTATTTGGAAAACGTCGCTAATAGTATCCTTAATAATAAGTAAATAGTTTTCCTTTTGAGGTGGCATTTTTACACGTGTGAGACTAGCAGTTTGTTCTCATTGCAGAAGAGTGTGTTTATGGTCGGATGTTCAGCTCGGAGCTTCACCGAAGCACAGTAGGGTTGCGACTTGCACATCTCTTTGGAGCTCCCCGGCATGCCGACAGAGGTGTGGGCACCAGCTGCAAATATCAGCCTGGTTTTTCTTTGCATTATGCCTGAGCCCCTGTTTCATTTGTTCCCTTTCATCTCTTTGCCAAGCCCCAGCTGACCTTTGAGAAGTTTACACAGACACCAACGTGCTTCAACAACCACACGCTGCCACCGGCAGCACCTGCCCTGTGGGCAGTTTCCATTTACACCGATAAGACTCACTTGGGCAGGATGCCTGTGAAGGATCCCGTTACTCAGTGCTACCCTGCAGGAGATGCCCTCCCTCACCCACTCCCTGTGCCGGAGGGAGAGCAAGACCTCCTCCTTTTTGTTGCTGACATTTTCCAGCACAGGGACTCGTGTGTGAAACACTGTGCCTCCTGGCATGCAGGATTCAGCTTCTTAATTTGCCTTCTGCCTTCCCATGAGTGGCCAGTGAGATTCACCGTGGTTTATACTGAGCTGTCTAGTATATGAAACATCAGATAAGCGTTGCTTTGGATTTCTAGGCAGATGCTGAAACCTGTGGTAACAAGAGGACACAAGAGCTAGCAGCCTTAAACTGGCTTAGACCCCAATTCAGCAAAAGCAATTAAAGCTGTACTGCTGGTGCCTATTTAACAAGCCACTTAAGTTTGTGTTTAATTTAAAATTGTGTATCCTAATAAACGTCAAGCTTTTAATCACATACTAGCAGGTAATTGCATGGGTAGGTGCTTTACTGGAAATGAGTTTACTGGGTTATGGTATAAGGAGGAGACATTGGTGAATGGTCTGATCTCAGAAACAGCTATAAATCATAAAGAGCTAGAATAAATGGCAGAGTTTCTCCATGTTTGCATTGTGTTACACTGCCTTGTTTTGTTGTTTGTTTGGTAACACATCTATAAAACTGAAAGAAAAAAGAAAAAAAAAGTTTGTCATTCTGTTGTCCAAGACCAGAACAGATCAAAAATGCATTGCAGTCGGACTGTGTTATTTCTGACCATTTATCCACAGGAGAGGAAAATACTTTCTCAGTTTGAGCAGGGCTGCTTCCGATGGAACCTGTGATGTCTCACTGGAGGAAATGAGGATTTTCAGCCAGCAGATGAAAAGGTGAGAACGGTCTTGGAGAATCAGATATGCCGCCAGTGACCCAAATCTGGCCTCCAGAGTGTGGGACGTCAGAAGGTGCAACCATTTCCCAGGTTTCTCCATGGACAATTTATCCACACATCCATTTGCAAATACTCCTGAGTTTGTTTAAATCTAAACTTGGTGAGTTGCTGGGCCTCAGAAACACCGGCACCTGGACTTGAAGAGCATGACCCCAAGCAGCTGCTACCAATGAGCACCACCAGCTCTGGGTCACGCCAGCTCTTCCTGGGCCAGAAGGAATCCCTCTTGCTGCTCTGGGAGTGGTTGCCTCAGCAAAACCAGTTCAATCCAGGTGGGGATGGCTCTTGCTTAAAACTGAGATGGTGGTGGGTACGTGGATGTGGCATGTGGTGGGTATGTGGATGTTTGGTGTCTGAAGTCCGTCTCCTAAGTTTGAGTTTATGAGGAGAACTTCTTTGATCTGCAGCGCTGCTCAGCCCTTCTGGTCACTATTCACTTCCAACGAAACTGGAAATGTGGGCAGGGAGAGGAGGGGATGGGTGCTGCTCCAGGCCCCTCAGACCACCGCCCTCCAGCCCCATGCACACGTGTGTCAGCTCAGCACAGGGCACCCAGGCTGCAGCTGTGGGCCTGCGCCTCAGCATTTCAAAATCCTTCACTTCTTTATCCCTGCAGCCGCTCGCCTTCGCCGTGCCAGCCAGGCCAGGGCAAACCTGCCTGCATCAGCGTTTCCTCTCGTGCTGTTTTCCTTTGTTTTCTACCGCGAGGTGGTTGTGCAGACAACGAGCAGTGAAAGCTGACATTGTAGGCACCTGCACTGCACAGGGAGGCCTCTGCCTCTCGGGGCTCCTGCTCACGGGGTGGCAGCGTGGCGGGAGCTCCAGGCCCACGCTGACAGGGACATGAGTGGGGACCCCAGGCCAGCTCCATCCCCTTGGGGACTTGCGGAGAAAGATCTTAAAAAGTCACTTTATTCCCCTTCTGCTCTTCCAAGCTTGTTTAAAAGATATATATATATAAAGCTTGTAATAATGCGTGGTTAAAAAGAAGGACTTACCTTAATTCAAAACGCTGTGACAGCACACAACAGCCATTTGTCCCCCCTGTGGGTAAAACCCTCCCATTCCACACAGTCCCCAGACTCCAGAGCTCTGCTCGCCGCTGTGGCAGCACGTCAGGGCTCCCTGGCTGCTCGGATCTCTTCATCCTGCCTTCCCCCTTCTCAAAAACATCCCCTTCTAGTTGTTAATGACCCCTGTCCTGCATGACCCCATTTCCTCACCTCTCCCCTTGCCTCCTTTCTTTCCTCTCCGTATTGGTTTGACCCCAGCATGTGTGTGCATAATTTAGCAGGGTGCATGAAAGCTGGGGGGTGCAGGGAGAGCAGGCGCGGCTTGTGACAGGCAACAGCCTGTAGTGGAGGGTGATGGGAAAAGCAAATCCTATTAGTAGTGTGGGTTTTTTTGTTTGTTTTAAGCTTTAAAATAACATTGTGAAAAGAAGAAACAAAGAGGCTGGGGCCCTTTCCCTGCAGCCGTGCAATCCCACGGCCCTGTAACCATCCTCTCCGCCAGCAGCCCTTGGTGCTGCCTGCTGAAGGGCGGAGATGGAGGTGCACAGCATGGACCAGTAGCACAAGGGACGTAAAAAAGCCTGTGCAAAGGGGTGGCGGACAGCAAAGTGTGGGAGAGGGTCTGGTGCCACTGGGAAAGGGGAAGTGTCCGGTGACCAGACACAGGAGGGAACAAAAGAGAACTGGGCAGAAACTGGGCACGGAGTTGAAGAGCAAAAGAAAATGGTGATGTAGATATAAGATACAGATCTTCCACATAAGAGGCGGTTTTCAGAAACAATGACTTTCCACTGCTCTAACCAAAGTACAGAGGGTGCCGACCCCTTAAAAAATCAAACAGATTTTTCGAGCCAGCCTCTACCGCAGCGAACTCCAAAGTGGGGTGTAAACAAGACAGGAAGAAAACATTCCTTGCACCATTAATAAGCAAAACAAAAATATTTTTAAAGTAGAGTAGATTTCATCTTTATGCTTTTATATATATATATATAATTTCTGGGCTTGTTCACATTTTATAAAGTGTGTCATATACGGAGTTACGTGCATATAACCCACAAATAAATACAAAGACATCTATGGGGTCTGCATCCTCAAAATTGACCTTCCCAGAAGAGCTCGGAGGCCGCTGCTGGGGGCTGCTGCATGGGCCCAGCACCGCACCCATGGGCGCCCCGGGGCCGGCAGAGGGCGCCCGCTGCCCGCGCCTCGCCTCGGCCCGGCCCGGCCTGGCCCGGCCCGGCCCGGCCTGGCTCCATGTTGTGTGTGTGTGTGTGTGTGTGTGTGCAATGGCAGCTTGGCCAAAAATCCTCCCCCTTCCTCATTTCGGTCCCAAATCCAAAACGCAGCTCTGCTGTGGAGAACATCGACTTCATCCCAGCCAGCCCTGGTGCGGCTCGGAGGCTTGGAGGCGCTGCAATGAGCGGTGGTCGTCAGGGGAATCCAGAGGCTGTGGAGACAACTACAAAAAGAAAAATATTATTAATAATTAAATATAGATAGATATATATTCAAAGATTTCAGTTAAAAAAAAAAAAGTTGGTACGGGAGGGAAAGCAAAAGTTAGCGGAATATTGCTTCAGCAGGCAGGTGAGGATATCACGGGGGCTTTCCTCTAGAAGGAGTCAAAGATCCTCAAATCCCTGCCTTTGATCTCAGGGCCTGCCTTTGGTGGCAGGGAGCAGCGCTGTGCCTGCACAGAGGGGTTTATAACGCCGCGGCTGGGTGCCCAGTGTTAACAGCACCGACACATCCAGTGCTGGAACCGCCGGCTGTGAGATTCCCTCAGAATCGATGGAGATACCTGAACGCAAAATCTGGCTGGGGTGAGGGCATGGGGGCCACTCATCCATCCCAGTTCCCTTCCTTTGGTCGGAACTGGGAGTCCTCTGGCCCCTTGAAGCCATGCTGCCCAGAGGCTCCTGGCTATGGGAAGGAAGATGAAGCTCATCACTTCTCAGGAAGCTGAGGGGCTGTTCAGGGTGTTTTTCAGGCGGAGAAGGGTGTCTGTTTTGTTTTTCCTCATTACCAGTTTCAGAGCTCTTGCAGGAGATGGGGCTTTCACCAGGAAATAGTGCAAGGTTCTCAGCTATGCACGGGCACTGCAGAAGCCAATGATCTGCTGTGTGGGGAAAGAGGAGCTGGTCAGTAATTTCTGACAAGTGAAGTGCGTGCAGTTTGCGACGTAAGCAGCTTGGCTCCTTTCACGATGTTTCATAATGCTCCTGGACCAGCTTTGTCATTTATGACCTTTCTTCAGCAGAGGTTACAGAGAAAGGATGTGTTTTTTTCAAGAGATTTCAATAGGGTGCGTGCCTCCTTGCCCTCAGAGTAGGGGCAGATGGGGTCACAGATCAGGGCGCACACTTACTAAGAAGCTCGGCTTTCTCTGGCTTCCTTCTCTCTCCCTTTTCTTCTTCCTTCTTGTCTTTATTTTCTCCCATCCTCTTGATTTTACGTATGAGCGGAGTTAACAATGGTCCTGACCAGTCTGTGCTGAGCTCTCTGTGACTGAGCCACCCCATTTGCTTGCCCAGGGCACTGCATTTACTCCCTGAACTGTGAAGCACTTGTTCTTTATTATGGCCCGTGTCTCCATTTATTTACGGAGAATCCCCAGCAAGGAGAACTCGAACTACGTTTCTGAATACAACAACGATCGTCTGCGGGTGATCCTTTCCTCCTGAACCATGAAACGTGTTTCTCCTCTGCTCTCTGTGGCCTGGCGTGTGCTCTTTACACAACAGGCTACCCTGGCAGGACAGCCAGGGTAGCCAACAGATCTTGGATCTGTTGGTTTCCTGGTGAGTAAGCACTGACACGTGGGAAAATCCGTTTTAATTTTCTGGGAAATCCTGCAATTGGAGAGTCTGTGGAGGATCCTAAAGTGAAGGAGCCCCACTAGTTGCTCTGAAGCTGCAGGCTGTGTGAAAGGGGCTGGCTGAGTGCAAGGAAACCCTGAAACTCCTCTGGAGAAACAAATGCACTGCTACTGCTCTCCTGCAGAGGAGACCCTCTGATCATGCTGAGCATCCCAACGAGGAAGAGAACGAGTGTGATGCATCTTTTGTACCTCCAGGGAAATGCAATCATAATCTCTGATCTGGTGCTAATTGATGCTAATGAAAAGGCTCCAGCAGACTTTTGAGTAGACCCACAGGTAAGGAGAAATGATACCGTTTGAACATCACTGCTGATAACAACCAGAAGGACGATATTATGTTGTCATCAGTCGTGGCAGTAGCCAAACCTTTTGGACAAAGGTCAGGAGAGCTCTCCAGCTTGGTCCCCCTCCCTCATCCCTCACTTCTCGGGCAGTCTGGTCTCTCTGGTGGCCAGGGTTTGTCTCTGAAGGGCAGAACAACACATGGTGGGTGTACCAAGGTGGTGATCCAGCTGTGCAGACCCTCACAGCCCTCTCTTGCCCACTGCCCTCCCAGAACGCAGTTTCATACATGTGGTAGCTCTGCAGGGGAGAGGAAAAAGCACATCGAGGGAGAGGGAAGGGACATGGCATGGGTTAAGCCTTGCCCCTAAGCCTCTACTGGAGAAAAGAGGGATGCCCTGTTCTGTGCAGGAGATCAGGGCAGAGATGGCCATAGTAAAGTGGAGTCAGGACCCAATAAAGGTGGTACAAAGCAGAGCAGAAAACTAATAACAATTTTTCCCAGAAGAACGAGCCCAGTAACTGCAGACTGAGTAGCCTTGGCTCGGTTTTGGGGAAGACCTGCGTGGGGTTCAGCTGAGAAAGAACTGCAGAAAAGAATGATTAATGCCACTGCCATAGTTATATGGTAACTACAAGCAAACTTGTCAAACCTGATTTGTGCTTTTATGAGACGATGAATTTGGTTGACAAAGGTAATTGCACAGTGATAATGTACATGAAACTGTGCTGGGCACGTTAGCCAGTAGCGCAGTGCATTTTGATCCTAAAAATCAGCACTCTGCAGCATCAACACAACTTGTGTGAGCTGCTCCAGCAGGAGAACCACCGACAGGCCTCAGAGTCAATGAGGAGTCCACGAGAGGCTCGTGGGACCAGGACTACGCTGGAAGCTGTTTAATTCATTAATGTGTCACTTTAATCTACGATCTAAGTGAATATGAAATCTCTGTGGATAACACCTGGGGCTGGCAATGACCAGGAGGACAGAGGAGCATAAGAAGTCAGCTGTGCGGAGTGGCATGCCCAATGGCAAGGGGCTGCTTAGTCTTGAAAAGGTAGAGTTTGCAAGTGGGAACAGGCTGCAAAGGTGTAGCTTTGTAGATAGTGTTGGCAAGTCTGAAACATCCAAGATCTTAGAGATTTGGAGAAATTAAATATTGGGGGTTCTGTGGGCACAGAGGACCTGTCCTGTACCCAGAGGCAAGCAGCAGAGGGTCTCTAGGATGCAAGACCTCCAAGACCAGCACCCTCCCTGCTCCCTGTCCTGGGCAGCAGAGAGCCTTTTCCTTCCCAGCTTGGCTAACCGGGAGCACCTCCAGCCCAGGCTGTGGAGAGGACACCCCGCAGCCCGCAGCCCTATAATGTGAACGGGCACTTGAGTAGCTTAAAGCCCACGTGAGGAGCAGAAGACGTAGCTAGTGGATTCAGCCTCCTGGTAGCATTTGCTCAACTGATGTACTTGGGTCTGCTGCGAGGGAGGACTGTGCTGTTTCTGCTCGGAGCAGGCTCATGCTCCTTCTGCAAGCTGATCCCCCCTGCCCTGCCACCAGCCTGGCACGGGCAGGCAGCAGCAGGGGAGCGTTGCCTGGGGACTGCTCTGTGCACCCCAGGGGAGAAGCAGCAGGGTCAAGTGACAGCGCCCTTCTCAGGTTCGCCTGGGTTTTGTTGTGATGGCTGTCGGTTGTTGTTGCTTCTCTTATCTGGGAATAATGAGTTCTCATGTTTCTGTACCACTGCTGAGGGCGGGGGGGAAGCACGGGCTTCTGAGGCAGCCCACACATTCATGTAAGATGAAACAAAATTTAAAATAAATTATAAAAAGAAAAAAAGCTCTTGTGCATTAAGTCTTACCAGAACGCACAGTTGTTTTCAGTGACTTCCATTGAACATAGACACACCTGTTCAAGGTCAAGTGGAAAACCCAGCTCTCTCTCAAAGGCTAGTTTTCTCTAGCTTGTTCCAACACTGCTTTTCATCTGTTTCTTTTGTTGCAGCTGTGGTTTTTAGCAGTTCAGGGCTTTCTGGATTCTCCCTGGGCTTATGAGAAATTAACGCTTGCCTGCATGAAGGTATGTGGGTAGATGTTTCCTGCTATAGCTTTCTAACAGCTCTGTGCTATCTGAAATGCTGTTGGTATGTGGTCACTGATTCCTATTTGCTTTCTCCACATCCTTCTGTACGGCCAGGCAGGAAAATAGCCAACAGCAAAACTGAGATATCGTCGACATTCATAAAAATAACTTGTTTTCTCCATCATTTTTCACACATACATTTACCTTATTGCTTCTGTTACAACCACCTTAAACTATCAGCAAGTGGCTTCCATAGGAAAGTATCTGGGACTCCAGGAAGGGCTGAAGCATCACTCCCTCATCATAAGCAGGGGTTGCCTTGTTGATGTGCCCTTCCTCATGTCTCTCCCCACAGTGGCTCACCTGGGCGAATGTTTCAGATTCTACATACCCCTGTTTTTTCTTGATCACTGCTATTCCTTAGGCTGGCAAGGTAACTCTGCTCTCCTGTATGTGAGCTATTGTCAGCTTACTTATGAAGGGGGATAATTACCCAAAGTGGTGAATTATCAAAACATGCCAAACGGCAGCCCTCCTCCCCATTAGCTTTTTGTCAGCACTTGGTTCTTTTTTTTTTTTTCTCCTTGTAGTTGCTGTGCTTATCCTCCCTCCTGTGTGCACTAACTGATTACACTGATATAATTCCACTGAATTTGAGGGGATTATTTTCTGAAATATACTGGTGAGTCACCCTTCTGTCCTTCCATCAGTTGCCCTGATCACGGCTGTATTTCAGGGTGTAAAATCAGTGTAACTGCCAGAAGCTATGAATTATGGAGGTGGGACTCATTAGACCTCAGGGAATCAAGCAGCTCTCCTGTAACTTGCCTGAAGATACCTGAGTTGAATCTCCTGAGACTCCAAAAGTTTATCTCCAGCTGCTCCGACTGCATCTAATTTATTTTCTAGTTGTTGCAGGTTTCTTGCTTTCTATCTTCCCTCTGCACAGTTTTCCATCTCTTTGCATCTTCCTTTCTTTCCCTCGTTATTGCTTTTTCTTTTTAGCTGCATGTTACAATAAAGTGTGCTTTTCTAACGTGTTTCCACATGAGGCTGTGCTGGAGCTCAGGCTGCAGTGAAAGGAAAGATACTAAAAATATATCAAGAAGTACGCTGCTGGGTAATTTAAAAACTAATATGTCTTGTGTTAGCCAAACAATAGAGCATTTGATAAGCTGTGCACTGCTGAGAGGATCATTTTCAAAGGGTCATCCACCTGCAGTACAGAATCCACGGATAAGAGGTAAGCTTTGGGCTGACCTCCCAGCCAAGAATCCTCTCCCCCCTTTCCCTTCTGTCTTTGGGGTGGAGGTGAGGATGCTAGAGCAAGGGGCGAGGACATTTGACAAGATTTTTCACTGTGAGAAGGAATGACAAAATGGAAAGGAAGGATAGGGGTGGCGAGGGATGGAAAAGATTAATAATTGTTTCCTTGGCAACTGAAACCGTGGAGCCTCATGCAGGAATCCCTGACAGAAATCCTAGAGAAAGCTGGGTGAGATGATCACAATGGTCTCTTCTGCCTTCAGACTGTTGCAGGCTAAGTTTACACATCACAGCGTGGTGCTGCAGAAAGAGATCGAGTCAGTGCTAAATGGAAACCAGAAACTGTACGGCTGTAAGAGACCCTTGGGAAGAGAAGCCCCATTGTCTCCCTTTTATAAAATGAGGATTTTATTTTTTTATATATATATATATAAAGCAAAAGATGAGAAGATAGAATAACCTGGCAAAGATTATTAAAATGTCTTTGGCAATGCAGAGTGCAAGCACGTTACCAGTCTCTGCCTGTCCTCCTCATCACTGGAGTGGGACCACATCCCCCTCAGCTGAGGGTGTGCTGAAGGTGGTGCACAAGGAGGGAGCAGAATGGCAAAGGGAGTGGGAAGCAGGCGAAGCAGGCGCTGTGCAATGAGTGCTGTCTGCCCTGTGCTCTGCGGGCACTACCAGCACGAAGGGGTCCCCGTCCTGCGCAGTGCTCTGCTGCAGCAGCAGTGAGCCTCCATGAGGGGATTTTCATGTAAGAACTGGGGCATAGATATGAATATTAATGAAAGCAAGATTGACTAACTTCTTGCTATTAAAAGATTTCTGGTCCCAGAGAGTAGGTGGAGCCTTTTAAAAAATGTATAATGAAATATAATGTGATACATAACTTTAAAGGCATTAAGAATGTGGATTTTGATCCTTTCCAATTTTCTGTTTATATAATGCTGTGCAAGCGTGAAATGGAAATATGCTTTCATTTGAACACTTCTTTTTTTCCCCTTCTCCTCTATGTCCCATATACCAGTATTTGTTAATGCAGAATTTCATGGCCATGCATTCTGGTGAGCCACTTGGCAGTGGGCAGCTAGTATTGATTTCTGCTCCAAAAATAGAGCATCATCAAATGCTTGTATATCTATAAGCTTATACGTGAATTTATATATTTATTTATAAACATGGGTGTTGCAAAGTCATAAAAGACATATGAAGGTTAAATCAGCATTTTAATAAATAAGTAGCCTTGCCAGTTCCAATGTAAACTTTTGTGACACCTGTGTATTTGATGCATAATTGCTGGAGAGCGTAATCTACTGCTCCATGCCTGTGAAAGGCATCCCCAGGCAAGATGCTGGCACATTTCTATACCTGGAGTAGAAACTATAGATTCGGAGCAGCAGAATTTCCAGACGGTCATGTTGGAAAGAAGCACTGCAGCATCAAGGCAGCCGGCCCACTTATTTCAGTCTGATCATGACGTTAAGTAATTGCCAGTGCCTGCATCACTATCACTTACTTCTCAGAGTAGCTTAATGATAGGAAACCAGCTCCGTGAGTGATTCCCTGTACGAATGAGTAGAGCTGTTACATGTGTCTGTCTGATCCTCCGCAAGGAGCTGGCGGCTGTGGCAGTTCTGAGAAAGAAAAAATGAAAGGATCCTTAGAGAGCCGGTATATATTTTTTTTCCTCTTTGCTCTCTGTGATGGAGAAGGCTGGCGTAGAGCACAAAATGAAATTTATGTTCCCTGAGACTTTCTTCTGGGCTGGCACTGAGTACTCACGAGTAAAATACCGTGTCAGTAATGTGTCAGTATGGCCATGTTCTCGAGTGCAGTGAGAGGGGGCTACTACAAAGCATGCCAGCCAAAATAAGACAGAAGAAGTCTGCCTTCCTGACTGATGTATTTCTGAAAGGCAATTAGGAAGGGGGTACATATGTGTGTGTATCTGGGTGTGTGACCATAGCATGTAAAATATAGGATGCAAAGCTAAAAACAGTGTGTTAATTCATTACTGATCTCCCTTTTAAAGTCTTTTTTTTTTTTTTTCCTCTTACTGCTTATTTTTTCACCCTATTAATATCCAAAATATGCTTTTCTTTGATGAACGTCATTTGGAGACCTGAATAATGATGTCAGATAAATGTGTTGTTTTCATAATTTCACTTCCCTGAGAGGTAGCTATTCCTTTAGGGCAAAAAAAAAAAGATGGAAGAAACTTAAGGGAAATAAAATGAAAATGGAATTTAATTCTGTTATTTTGATTCATGGATACCCAAAATGAGACATCAAGCTTGGGATTCATTTCATCTAATGTTATCCATCTACAAGAAAAAAAAACTAGTTATCAAAGCCTTCCTCTACAGAAAAAGGAGAGATAGGTCAGACGTTGGCTTCTGGCCTTGCCTATTTTATCATGAAATGTGTATTATACATATCATTTCTTTCCATTCACAACAAAGAAATATAGCATAGAGACTGAGTTTCAAAGAAATGTATGCATGTAACTTCAGTTTAAAAAGATCTACTACGTTTGTCCTGGCTGAGTTAAGGAATGCAAGTTCTTTCCAAAGTAGATGGAGGAATGGTTTCATCCCACCGAAAATGAGAGGTCTACAAGCCGTCAAGGATGTGGAACATTAAGCCAAAATGAGGAAATGCTGGATAAGTATTTCAGAGGAACAGAAACAGAGAGGGACGTCCCAGAGTAGGAGTCAAGCCTTCTGGAGGTTCAAGGAAGAATATTCCCAGTGTGACGTTATCCAACCTTTTTAAGATGTACCAAATGTGCTTCCTTGCAGAGAGGCAGGTCAGTTGGCTGGGCTAATTCATTAACTAGCAAAGGGAAACTAGCATGCTATCACCAACTTATATAAGTCACAATGTCTTTGTTGTTTATCTTTAAGTGCTAGATCCTGGAGTCACATCATTTAATAACAACTCTGGCTTAAAAAAAGTTCTGTGTTTTTCTGGATGGTGGACTAAGACTCGGAGATGTGAACTGTAAAGGCTCCAAAAAAAGGAAAAGCAGACACAATAACAGATGTTAGTGATCCGTTAGCCAGCCTTACGATTTCTGAATACTCAGCCTTGACCACCAAGCTGGCATTAACATAGTGTTAACATCTTGCATTGCCTGCCTTCCAACACTGTGTCAGCTCTGGTATAGATGGAAGGAAAAAAGAATGTAATTCTCTGAATGGCCTTCCTCTTTTCTTCCCTATCCCCTGTGTATTCATAAAGCCACACTTTGCCCCATACTGCAGCTCAAGAGACATTCAGAGATGCAATTATGGTGCAAACGTAACAGGGTTATTACCACAAGAACACAACAAACCGCTCTAGCTAAAGTATGTGTATTGCAGGCCTGTGATGTTAAAACCAGACTTCCTTAAAGTGCCTTTGGTCGCAGACAATAAAAACAACTTGTACGGCAGAAGACCACTGAAAATAACTTTTAAAGAAAGGATCCATTTTTACAATGGCAGCACTTCATCTGATGTGCAGACCTGGGATCATAATTGAAAGTGAGACAGCCAAGGGAAGTAGTAGGTTTAGGCTATGGGAATTCAACTGAACAATGTTCTGCATTCAGATAATTGCATGAAATTGGGCTATTAGTGTAATTTTTGCAAATTGCAGTAACATAAAACAAAGTAAAATATTCCCACTGTACACATTCAACTAAAGCACTAAAAAGGGAGCGACAACTGGTTTCAGACAGAGCACAGAGGACTCCCATTAACTATTCAGAGCTCCGTCCAAATATTGCTCGCAGTCTCACAGGTTACTCAAATGGACTTTCAAAGGGAAACTCTTTTCATAAAATCCCAAGTAAATAAACATAATGTAATAGTGGTGGTTTTCACTGGCAAGGACGTTACTAACATGTCCTTTAGCTGACCTTAGAATAATGTTGCATAAAATATCGCTGAGAAGAACTGGAGAAGGAAGGACTTCTGGCTCCAGCTGCTTGCTCCAGCAGCTCTCCTGACCGAATGTCAGCAGTAGCTGCAGCTCGTGCCTTTTCAGCTTCCTCTGTGGCATGGGATTATTCGGTCCTGTGGCTTTCCCCTAGCTAAGAAAAAAAGGTTATCAGCAGAGATGTCCCAAATCCTTCCTTGTCTTAATTTCTCAGCCTTTATTTTTTACCCTGCATTCACCTCTGTGACTTGAGCTCAGCATCTGGAAAGAGCATCTGCAGAGAGGATGGTTCCAGAGGTGGCTTTTGTAAGCACGGCTTCAGCACGTTTGAGTTATCCAAGCAGAGAAATGCTGGCCCACCGCTGACCCGGGCTAATTATCCTAATGCTTTGAGCTCAGTCTGGCTAATGCCTACTGCCGTGGTACCTGAGCAGGAGGACTGCAATTAATTATGCTTTTATCTTTATTGAATACTTGGATGCTCAGGAGCATGTGCCAGCCACATGACTGGCTGGGCTGCCAAGGGGAATGCCCATGTCACTAACATCTCTGTGGGGTTTGGAAGCAATTTCCGAGTTGTCTGCCTCTTCGTTCCCTTTTCTGAAGACAGGGAAATAATTTTAATAACGTTTGTGATGATTGGAGAATATGATATCAAAGAATCAATTCGGGTACCTGTGGTCAGTAGTTCAATTTTGTACTTGTTTTTCAGCTTTAACTCTGCATTGGAGTACAGAAGACAGCACCCTGTCAGCATCCTGTAACGAATGGAAGCGTAAAAGGCGGTCGAGCCCTGAAAAAAGTCCCTTAGTTCCAATTCATTTCTCTGTCACTACATTTAGCAATGGGGTAAGCCTTTCATGCCATCTGATGTGGCTCCCTGGATCCTGCTTTGTGCCCTGTCTATGTGAGCCTTCAGACTCCAAAAGAGGGGATTTCTGCTGCTGTCCTCAACAGTTCATCACCGTGCATGTGTATCCCACCAGTAATCCAGACTCAAGTTTTCCTTTTTTTGGATTAAATTCTTTCTGTTCCAAACATTGCCCTTAACAAACTCTTCTTTTCTTGACAATTAAGGCTTTTCAAGCATTTTATGTCTCTTTATTACATCTGCCTGCCACAAGCCTGCACAATGGTCTTCGAGAGCTTCCTTGGGGCACGGCTGCACTGCGACGCGCCGTGGTGCACATTCCCCTGAGGCAAAGCTGAATGAGCCAGCTCCAAAACTGGGATTTGGGCTTTGAGTTTTTAGTGCAGCGAGACAAGGGCCATCTTTTCCGGCTTGCTCCATTTGGTGTCTGTTTAGCTCAATACAATGAGGTCCTGGTTTGCCAGCAGGGTTTTTAAACTTTACATTCAGGAAAGGAGAGGGGTGATGAAAGTAGGAGGAAGCTGCACGTAGCTCTGACTGCAGTGTTCAGTGCTGAAAAGGATAATTGGGGAGGGATAACGCTGTTTGAGGACAATAATGTGAAATATGGTTTAAGAATCATGCAATTTGGGCCTCAAATGTAGTCATATAAAGTAAGCTACTTACTATACAGGTATCTGGGTGGTGACATTTTGCTGAGAGATGGGGAAGCAAAGTGGGAAGAAAAAGTCTTAACAGTGACATAAAGACAGGAAGGCTGCAGGAAGATGAATGCGAATGAAGAAAAGGATAGACAACAGAAGTAAGGGTGTCTTATGGCAGGTATTGAATGGGAGGGAGCCTGGGGCTGTAACTTCTGGAGGGACCAGAAACCATTAGCAGTAGGAAACGAAAGCAGACTTAGGGAAGGAAGAAGGGTTCTTACAGCTTTTGTAAGGAAGAAGGGCTCTTGCAGCTTTTATCTCAGGAAGGTCAAGCAACTATCATCTATCAGCAGGAGGAAAAATTCTCTAGAGGTGAATGGCATGGGCTAGACTTTAAAAGTGTTCATTCCAGCTGCTCCTGCTGAAATCTAGCAAAGCATCTACTCATTGACTATTTGACTTAGTTATTTTTACTTTCCAAAACCACTGATCCCTGAGTCTGCAAAATCTATTGATCTGCTTTCTTCGTTATGTAAATTAGGATAGCATTTGATTAATCTTCGGTATAATCTATATCTGGGCCAGACAAGAGGAAGCCTTATCTTTTTAAATGAAGCCCAAATGGTTTTCGGAATGGGAGATGCACCCTCAATTATGAAGTGATGATCAGAAACAGATGTCGGGGAGGATTTTGCAAAGTCTGGATATTTTTTTGGAAGTGTTTATTGACATTGCATGAAAAGGCAGGAAGGTTTGTTGATTCTGTTTTGTGGGAGGACTTTAATGGATGTGAACATAATGGACCTTTTTACTGAGCACTCTGTTTAAGATGGGATTACCAAGGATAATTTATAGTAAAGTCACTGTACTTGAAGCTTACTTAAGTTCCAAATTTACTATAGACAAGACTTTGGCTTACTCAGTTTTGTGTGTTGTCCCATAACACAGAGAAATAATGTAATTGCTGTCATGATCAATACCATTGTAGCTTGAAATGCGTTAATTTTAACAGGGAAAGTTAGCAAAGTATATATGGAATTATTTTCTGTAGCTCAGTGTATAAGAATGGAGGGTAGTTTGATGGTACAAAATATGTCTGCAGTGCCATTTCTGTATATGGTATGTCTGTGTGTTATAAAATTTTATTTTTAGAACAAAATGGGTTAATTAAGGTCATGATTGTTTGCAGATATGAAGAAAAGAAGACTCTAGCCTCAGAGAGTAACATACCTCTCCATTGGAAGAACACCACTAAATCCATGTAAGCTAACACATTGCTGCAGATGAACTGAAGAGACAGGAATTTGAGGCAGAGGGTTTTGGCATGTGGTGGAAGTGAAGGAGTCAGAGGAGGCAACAAGCGTAACCACTCTGAGGAAGAAGTGCACAATAAGACTAGACCATATTGATCTGGGAATGCTTTGGGTCTTTTTTATGTCACTTACCATGTGGCTTTCCACAGCGTGCAGCTTTGCAGAGAGTAAAAGAAAAGCCATCGTGAATAAAAACAGTCTCTGCTCCATTAGACACAAGTGTTGATAAGAAAACTAAATGTCTGGAGGTCCTCACTAAGCTAAGCTAGAACACCACCTTTGAATTCTTTTTTCAATGTGTGGTTCAGCAAATTGGAGATATGCACAATAAATAAATAAATAAGTAAATAGATCTGTTTCCTCACATATTTCATCAACAGCAAAAGAACAGTAGAATAAAATCTCTCTCTCTCTCCCTGATAAATACCATCCCCTAAAGGCAAAAATATCATCAGCAGTTCTGGCCACTAAGTCCCAAATCAATAATAACTGGAAGTTAAATTACTGAGCAGTTGTCTGATTCCATTGGAAATAATGTTGATGGCCTCCAATTCACTCCGGCATCTCTGAACTGGTACATGTTTGAGAACCAGGCTTCTGCATTTGGATATTGCATATAGTACAAGAAGGAAGACAATTGGAAAGTACTTTCTATTTTGTAACAGGGTCTAATTTCACATCTGCCCTTCCAGCAAAACATATGAGCATTTCCACACGGAGCCTTCTGAGGATACTCTTGTTTCTGTCATTGCACTGTGCCCCTGCGACAAATCGCAGTAGCCGTCATGGTAATGGAAAGCCCAATAACGTCAAAAACTTCCTGGTGTATATGCAATGGGAAGTCATTCAGCAGTATGTAAATAATCCTTGTTAACCACACTGTTACAGAAGATTACTTCTCCTTTCCCCTCAAGCAGGGTGGCTAATATTTTGATCCACACTACCAAAGACCACAGTAAGGTGCCACAGGAAAGAGAATTCCTCTCCTCCCAACTCTCTTATTTTGTGTGATGACTGCATTTGTAAGCTGCAGAGTAGAACATAGTTAAAATTATAGCTAATTTCACTTTGTGAGTTTGCAAGTGACAACACAGGGGTGCCTGTGAGAACCACAGATTCCAGGATCTCTGGTTTGTATTAATGTCCTAGTAAAAAAAATGTGCTGTGTTTTTCCAGAGTACTGTTTTAGTGAAATCTGAAGACTCCTACGTATCTTTGCTTTACATATATGTATATATACTATTTATAGTGATGTTACAGCTGACCATCATTCTTGACTTAAAATACTTGTCAGAAAAATGTTAGGTTGTGTTTTTATTTTTTTTTTCACTACCATAGAGAAAGGAAAAATAGGTCACAGCATGTCATCCCTTCAAGGGGTACCTGGACAAATTTCTTGCCATTTATTCTGTTGTACTTTCGTTCTGTGCATCTGTATTGGGTGAGAAGGACCAAAGAGAGAAGGTGCTGAAGACGCAGTGACGGAGTCTGAAGCCCTGAGGAAAGCACAAAGAGAAGTAGAGACAGAGACATGCTTGAAGCTGTAAACAAATGAAGTCCTTTGTCATGATTCTTGTTGCACTCAGGAAAACAGGACTTTCTGGTTAACAATGTGAAGTATATTGAAGAAATAGCTGAAGGCTACATAAAGAGCAGGAGAATAAACCTGCAGCCAGTGATAAAATTGTTGGGTGTCAGCTGCCACCAAGATGCCAACTACACGTCGGTAACCCCTGGCCAAGTTCATCAAGAGAAATAGGTGACCTAAATCTCAGTCAGATTGCCATGTATTATGAGGCTTTCCAGGAAATGGGGGGAGTAAGGGAACTGCCAAAAGAGGTCAGGGTGACAACATGAAGACACTCAAGTTCATACTGTCACTTAGGGGAGTAGGAGCAATGCTCCAGCACATGGCTCCAGTGTAAGTCTGTCACAAATGGGAGGCGAAGCAGGACGGAGGATCACATATGACTAGTGAAATTCTTTCCTACCTACTGGGAAACAGCAGGACGAAACAAAGGATGAACTGTACCATAGCAGGTAGCTGCCTCACAGTTGTTGTTTCAATTGGGTTGTTATTTAACCATGGGAGTTGAGTTTGGAGGTGTCTGGTGGAAGGCATGAAATTGCAAGGGAACAATGAGCACACGATCAGATGTGACAGTTCCTAAATTAGACCAGGAAGCTGGGAGATAAGGTAAACATCGATTTGGTCTTAGTAGACGCAGAAACTGGGGAACATGAACCTAAACACGAGATGGGAAGATTATTTTTGTGAACTGAACTCCAGGAACCGGAGCAGGAAATCTTGTTAGCTGAGACGGTGAATGAGTTAGCACTTGACGAGGATTTCATTGCGGGTAACAGCTCCGAAATGTGAGAAAAGTTGTCTCACACTTTAGTCTGGGAAGTTACCTTTCGTGGCTGGGTCTAGGTGAAACAAATTACCTACAGGCAAGCCGAAATGTTTTACAGGCAAAAATTACGTGGCCTGGTGCTAGGGGCACTGCCATGTAGTGTGGTATCCCTCAGCAAAGGGGTGGCGGGTGGCATCTGAAATATGTTTGGAAATTAAGTATTTCAAAGCTCGTACTGAATCTGAAGTAGGGATGGATTCCTATTCTCTTGCTGACTACTTCTGAGGGATAGCTTTCTAAAATAAACAAATACATTTAAAAAATGGAAACAGAAGGAGCACAAAACAGCACGCTCCATGCCAAGCGCTGGTGCATACCACTGCTCGCAGCGCAGGCATGCCGGAATGAAGTGTTTTTTTAAGGCTATTGTTGTTTTTTTTTTAAGGCTTTTTGTGCCTGTTGCTTAGCCTGGGCTGTAGATCTACAAGAGAGGTTGGGAAGGGAAGGAGGAGGCGGCAGGGAAGGGCCTGATGTGCCCTGAAGAAGCGGTGGGTATGAGGGCGTGGAAGGCAGGAGCGCTTCTTTGAGCCGAGCTGTGTTTTTAGGGGACCGGCAACTAACTCAAAACCCGGCAGTTTGATACCTAAGGACACGTAAACCTCAATATTTTTACCAAATTAAAGGGCACATTAACGCCACAAAAAAAAATTAACGCCACATCTCCACGACTTCCACAGCGAGCCCTGTGAGGGGAGACCCCTCACGGGGGGCGGAGCCTACGACGCGTCCTGTCCCCGCCCCCTCCCCCTCTAACCGGCTCCTCCCCCCCCCCCCGCGCGCGCGGCCGGCGGGGCGGGGCGGGGCGGGCGCGCCCCCGCGCGGAGGCGGGCGGCGCGGGGCGCGCGCAGGTGGCGGGGCGGCCTGCGGCGGGGGCGCGCTCCGGGAGAGCTGCGGGCGGGCGGGGGCCGCCTCCCACCCGGATGCGCCCGGGAGGAGGAGGAGGAGGAGGAGGAAGAGCCGCGATGACCTGACGCCGCGCCATGGAGCGGACGCCGCGCTTGGCCGCGGCGCTGCCCGCCCTGCTGCCGCTGCTGCTCGCCGTGCCGGCGCTGCGGGGCTCGCCCGCCGCAGGTGAGGGGGGAACAAAGCCGGGGATAAGATGGGGGGGACACGGGAACGTGGCAGGTGCGGGGGGGGCCGCCCCGCCGCTAACAATGCCCGCCCGGCGCGGGGGGACGCGCATTGTTCGCTGCCGCCGCGCGGGGACGCGCGCACACGCGCGCCGCCGATGCCGTGCGGGAGGACCCCGGGGCGTGGGGGGCCGCCCCGCACCGCCGAGGGTCGGCGGCCCCTTTTGTTGTTGCTTTGTCCCCCCCCCAGTGCCCGCTGCTCGGCCGCGGTGGGGCAGGGGGCTTGGTCCCCGAGGGGCTTCGTCCTGCGTCCCCGGGTGGCTCTGAGTGCGGGCACGCTGCTGCTGCCAGGGTGGGTGTCCCTTAGGTGGGTACCAGGGACCAACCAGACCCCCGTACCCACACCTAAATATCTGTGAGACCCTGCGCTAACCCTGCCATGGATGGTGACCCACCGCAGAAAGCAGCCCACTATGAGGGGAAGGCAGTGCTTGGGGCTGCAGGGCATGGGCTGGATGCAGCGTGCAAGTTGGTGACCCGTAGGTATCTCCAGGAGGCTCTTTGTACCCGAAAGCTACGCTCAGAGACACGGGTGGCAAAGGGGCGCGCTCCTAAGGTTGGCGCTTGCTTGGTTTTTGTGCCTGCTGGAGGTGAATGGCATGGCCAGGCTGCCTCTTCCCTAGGGTTTCGTAGTAGGTCGCTGGAGGCTTTTGTTTAATTGTTCGCCTGATGCTGAACGGGTCTTGGAAGTTCTGTGACCGAAGTGGCGGTGGGTCTCTGTAAACTCGTGTGAACGCCGTGTGTGCTTGTGTAACTCCGAAGCAGCGGTGGGGATGTGATGTAACGCAGCCAGCGCTTGGGCTGCTGGAAGGGAGCGCGCCGAGACAATGGATGTCCCCCAGAGCGGTGCGCTCCTCCTTGGGCTAGGGCAGGAGCCGTCGAGCTGTTCTGATTTGTGAGCCCTCCGCTTTCTCTTTTTCCACGGGACATGCAATCACACATGATGAATTCTAGCACGTTAACACCAAACTTGCCTTTCACAGGATGCTTTTTCATAGATGTGTTAGAGATGGTCCATTGGTCACGCAGATTTAAAGACCTCAGGTTGCAGAGAACAAATATGTTCTGTTCCTTTCTCAGTTGGGATGAAATGTTTATGGAAAGCATGGCAGGAGTCTGATTTGGCTGTGTAGGGCCCATCATCTTCACAAAATTAGGGCACAACCTGCATCCTAGCCTTTTCGTTAGCCTTGGAAAGTTTTGATGGCATAGCGGCGGTATGAGGGGTAAGTGATGTATGCTGGTCAACAGGCTTACAACTCCCTGAGCGTGTCCTTTCGGTGCAGCTCACTTGCTACTCGGTGCCATTTGGTCTTTTAACCAGTTCGGTAACAGAGCAAGCCCCTGCAGCTTAGAGTTACGCAGAAGAGGCACACAACAGAAGAGTGAAATGGCTATTAAGGACGCTCGCTTGCCATTGAAAGAGCAAAGTGAGCATCGGTACTTAAGGAAATTAAGTAATAAATCAAGTTGGATTTTGGAATGCCTGATCCAGCTCCCACTGAAGTCACATGTTGCTGAATCAGGGCTTCAGCTCCCACAATTAAGCAGATGGTGAGCTCTGAGTATGCAGATAGGCTGCCAGTGTGCTGAAGGCAGGTACGTACGTACTCGAGCACCTTGTTGAACTAGGGCTTTGGGCAGGCTCTGCAAATGTCTTACCGCTCAGCCTGGGCTGTGTTTCTCCCTTTTTGTGTCATTGCACAATCTCTAACTCCAGCACTGACGATCAGGAGGATCTATCTCACTTTGCTGTGCTGTTTTCTGTGGGAGAGAGGGGAGCAGCGTGCCAGACTCTAAAAAGTCTCCGCCGAGGTTTCCTCAGACACTGAAGGACTGAAGACAGGTTGCGGAGGTCAGGCAAGGAATCGGATATAACTGCCTCGTGGGACAGTTGCAGGATACTGTTTGCTCAACTTAATTGCATGAGGGTGTCACAGATGCTTGAGCTGGCACCGTGTCTCTAGTGGCCGGTTGAGCTTGTCAAGCTTACTTCCAGTTCATTTTCGCGGCAGACCCATATGGCTGGAGGATTCCCTTTAAGCCTGCTGTCTGTGCCGTGCTTGCTTTATTTATGTCAGCCTTGTGTCTACAAGCTACGCTTGTAGCCTTGCCAGGGGAAATGTGTGTTTTGTTTGCATGTTCTTTCAAGGAGTCAGAATGCTAAACAAGCCAGTGGACAGTGCAGCTTTTTGTGCGGTGGCGTCTGCTTTGTGAGTGGCAGTTCATTGCTGCGGAGCGAGGTCTTAGGTTTCTCAGGCAGGCTTGGTTACTTGAAAAAGAGCACGCTTCTAACAAAGTAGGTTTTAGCAGCTGTGACCTACCTGCTGTAATAGATTTTGGGCGCTGGACACATCAAAGAGCAGCGCTTCTTGCTGCAGCACAGATCTCTTCTGAGACATGTTGGGAAGGTGGTGGCTGCGGTAGGGGCAGACTGACAGCCCAAATCGTGTTTCCCAATTCATGACAAGTGTGTTTGCAGGGGGAGCTACTTGGGGGAGAAGTGAAGCAGAACAGGCTTCTTAATAACACAGTCCCACTTTGGCTGTGGGAACCATGGCTTTCCTTCACTTGAAAGTAGCTCTGTTTATGGGTGATGTCCTGAAACACCAGTGTGCCTCCAGCCTTGCCCGTTGTGGTGTGCAGTATGAATAACGCTAATTGCGTAAGAGTTGTTACGGGTGATGTCCTTAGCTGCTCGGTGTGTCTCCAGCCTTGACCAGAGTGGCATACGGGATGAACAACACTAATTGCGTGAGAGTTATTAACCCAGTGTGGCGTGGGAACCTCTCTGTTAGTATAAAAAAAAAAAAATCCTGTGGAAGTAGCACAAGTTGTCTTTTTAATTTTGTCTTGGAGCCCCAAAGTCAAGTCACGTGGTAGCATTATGAACAATGCAGGCTTAATTTCTTTTATTTCTGGTGAGTGCAGAAGAATCATGCTCTCATGGCATCCTTACCAGTGCGGTGGCTTCTGCACTCTGCAGTTGCATGATACGATGTCATTGTATCCCTTCGCATGCACATGAGCTCAGCAACAAATGTGATTAACAATTTCCCACTCCCCATTTGTGCTGTGTTTTCAGCTGTTGATGGATGTTATTGGAGACGTCTGTTTTGGAAGGCTGAGGGAAAGCCTTCCATAAGAGCAGTGGATTAGCGGTGTCTTATTTCCAGTACA